TGTGTGTGTGTGTAGTCTGTGGCATCCGTAGACAAGTTTTGCCACCAAAGTCCAGAAAGTTGGTCACATGTTCATGGGTCCTCGCCTTTTTAGCTTAGAATTAAGGTCCTAATACCACTCTAAAAGACATGTGAGTGAATTTAAAACTCCAGAGCCCAGGATTCTGATTTGTTTGGTACCACTTACTTCTCATCCACTAACAAACATGATCTGCACCACAGGACATCAGCAGTAGTACAAAATGGCAAAAAAATCGTATAGTACAAAAAACACCAGAGAGAGTCAATCTAATGATCATCTATTTCAGGGTTTTTTAGCCAGTCTGACGACGCTCTCCTCTGCAACACCACAAGAGGTCTTGCAAGAGAGGCCGAGCCCAAGAGCAAACCTAAGCCCGGCCCACCCGAGCATCTTCTGGGCCTCGTTGTGGCCCCGGCCGGTCTTCCTGCCGCTGGCCGTGCAGGCGACGTAGGCCGCGAGGAACGGGTCCTCCTCCGGCCGGACGCCGCGTTTGCTGGACCTGCTCCTCGCCGGCGGCGACAGGGACGGCGCTCCGGGACCTCCCGGCGGAGGCGGCACGCGCAGCTGGTGCGTCCGCGCCTCCGCCTCCTTGGCGCTGTCATGCGTAGTACTCCTTCCGCCGGAGGGCTTCCTCGCCTCGACCGCCGGGCTCTCCTTGGACACCCCCGGCTCCTGCTCCCAGGAGAAGGCCACCGTCCCGCACGCCGCGACTCCTCTGGGCTCCATGCCTATACCCATCTCCAGCCAGAGGTCAGTGAATCACTCTAGCTCCCAGTGGAATCTGCCTGAGACGAAGAAGACGAAGAGACGGCGTGGTCTGAGGAGGAAGAAGAAGAGCCGAGGTGGTAGCAGAGTGGTGCCGCCGTGCACGCGAAGCGCATGCTCGCGGTGGGGTCGAGAGGTCTGGTTCTTGGTTCGGTGGTGCGCGGGTACGACGTGGTGCTAGCTGTAGCTATACTACATACATAGGCCGGCGAGGAACGTGACGGGTTCCCTGGAGGTTATATAGCGGCGCAAACAGGGTTAGTTCGGCAAGGTTTGATTGCTCGGCCGATGTGACGGCCGGGGTACCGATCAGCAGCTCAGCCCGTTGGCCGGCGTGTCCTTTTCTGCGTTCGGTTTCGCCTTTGCGGCATGTGGGAGGGACGACGATAGGATCATGCATGGAGCCCAAAGCAGAACTGCATGCGCACGCACGCAAATCCGCCGGCGGCTAACCGTGTACCGGCAATACGGTTGCAGATTTGATCGACCTCGCACTTTGCCTGCAGCGAGGTTGGCTATCTGATCTTGATCTGGGCGGCGACGTACCGCAGCAGTCTACTCTGCTTGCTCGTCAACGAGCACGCGGATCTCGTCGCACTTTGCGTGACAATGCTACCGGTCATCACGACCTCGGCGCTAGGTTACAGCGCAGGGGTCAGGACGCAGACCACGACTGCCATGCACGCGTACCTGTAGAAAATGTAGAAAATGTTGGCTTGGGAGCCGCCAGAGAGAGAGCCGAGACAAATCAAGGGTTGTGATGCGTGTCATGGGCTCACGGGCGGGCCGACCTTTAGCTCGGAGAGCGCCAGCAATGGCTATTCTAATCGCGACTGCATGTGACCCGGCGTTTTGTAGGGTCCAAGCCGGGTTTTGGATACATGGAAGAACGAAAGATAATGACATTTCTTTTGTAATGTAGTGACATTTTTTCAAGAATAAGTAGCATACTGTTGGGAAGTCTCGGAGGCAGGCCAACTGGCTTTTTGTGAAAGTGACGAGCCGTGCTACACGTCAATGTTGTATTGTTGTTAGGAGGGGCGTCTCAAGTTCTTGACGCTAATGTCAATATCTTTTTGGTTCTAGTCCTTCTCAACATCTATCAATCACTTAACGCCATGCCTATGCGAAACCAGATACATGGTGCGATTTTGGCTCGTGTTTGAGTTGAATACTAGTACTACTCCAAACGATGCAATAAGGTCCAATGACTTGTGAAGTGTGTTGGGTCAGTGTAGATTACCTCATGATTGCATAGTTGAGAGAAACCTAATAAGAGATTTTTAATACCCACCTAGGAGGTCTCTTTGAATTGTATACGACTTTCATAGGAATTCTGAATGATTAGAACTCTAAGAAATCCTTTCCATGAAAACCCTTTGGATCATGGGTTTGGAGTTACCAAAATTACTACAAATTTATTCCAATGCCCCTTATTCTATAGGAATCTTAACACGGGTTTATATCTCGTCTTATTTTTTAGTGCACCATCCAAAGGAGGTTGCTGCAGACTTCTCGCGGGATTCTATACGGTACATGACATTTAAATCATGCGTCTTCCCCATTTATGTGTTTTCATATTCCTAAAATCCAAATAGGTTCTTAATCCTTTGTTCGGGTTTCCTCTCTACACAAAGAGCCCAAGCCAAAGACTAACACAAAGAGGCACGTCCCGAGGGTTCCATAAACCTAGCTCATGACTTTGCTTGTATTTTCGCTCTCGCCAAGGTGGACCCGAGGCATGTCCGTCACCATATCTCCTTACACAAGGCGCTTGAGATCGGGGAATACGACACTATCTTCATCAATGAGATTTGGGATGTTGCCCACTCGCTCATCATTTCATCGACTCCACTATGCTAATCCAACCCACCGTCATTCGCATCCGGCAGGCACCTGTGCAGGACTTCACCTCTCCCAAGCTCTCGGTGGAGTAAGGACGAGTGAAAGGGGTGGGTGTCGGTGTCAAAACCGGCGGATATCGGGTAGGGAGTCCCGAACTGTGCGTCTAAGGTCGATGGTAACAGGAGACAGGGGACACAATGTTTACCCAGGTTCGGGCCCTCTCTATGGAGGTAATACCCTACTTCCTACTTGATTGATCTTGATGAATATGAGTATTACAAGAGTTGATCTACCACGAGATCGTAATGGCTAAACCCTAGAAGTCTAGCCTGTATGACTATGGTTATGATTGAATATATCCATCCGTACTAAACCCTCCGGTTTATATAGACACCGGGGGGGACTAGGGTTGTACAAGGTCGGTTACAGAGAAAGAAATCTTCATATTTGGTCGTCAAGCTTGCCTTCCACGCCAAGGAGAATCCCATTTGGACACGGGAGAGAGTCTTCGGTCTTGTATCTTCACAGCCCATTAGTCCGGCCTATGTCCAACAGGCCAGACGCCTGAGGACCCCTTAGTCCAGGACTCCCTCAGTAGCCCCCTGAACCAGGCTTCAATGACGAGGTGTCCGGTGCGCAGATTGTCTTCGGCATTGCAAGGCAGGTTCCCTTTTCCGAATACTCCAAGATAGTCTTCGGCCGAAACGACCGTGCCCGGACCTGCAACACGTACCACGGCCGTAGAAAGTATAGTATTTCACGAGTCCAATCTGCTGACAACTTTTGTAAAGTGACATCACGCTTGCCCGGTCATTATTTTGAACCGTTTCTAGTCCTGTTGTTCCACGTTTCGAGGCGTGGTTTTTATTGGCACGTTCTGTCGAAGCAGAGATCATGTCCCCTTATTGCGGGATTCTCATCAATACAAGCGGGGGTAAACCAACCGTTCTGTTGGAAAGATTCCTTAGGAATAGGCAGGTTTTTAGGCTCATGAGGAGGCGTTCGATACCCGCTGCCTTTATAAAGGAACCAAGGGTCGTCTTTTTTTACGCCAAGCCTCTCCTCAGCCTTTCCAACCTCGAGTTCTAGCACCCAAGGTTCGACTTCATTGCTTCAGGCTTCCCCATCATGTCCGGACCCAGCCCTCAAGGCCGATGGGTGGCTTCCTCTGTTACAGAGGAGGATATTGCAAAGCTTCAGGCGGCCAGATACCTGACTGCGGAGATCCCCCACAGGCTTCTTGCTCAAGGGCAGGTTATTCCGACCCCCAGATCTGGCGAGAGGGTCGTATTCGTCTCTCACTTCCTCCGAGGGCTAGGGTTCGCTCTTCACCCCTTCGTCCGGGGGCTAATGTTTTTATTACGGACTAGATTTTCGTGATCTAGCTCCAGATTCTTTCCTCCACGTCTCGGCGTTTATCATCATGTGCGAGGCCTTCCTCCGACCCCCACCCCCCACACACACTTCGGCTTATGGCTCAAGACCTTTAGTGTGAAGCCGAAGGTAGTCGACGGGGAACAGGCGGAGTGCGGCGGTGCTGTAGTAAGCAAGCTTACCAACACTCTCTGGCCAAAAGGCTCTTTCACCGAAACTTCCAACCAATGGCAGCGAGAGTGGTTTTACGTCACGGAACCCTGTGGTACCAAGTGGGCAGCTATACCTGCCTTCTGTTCTGGACCTCCGTTACAGCTTGCATCATGGATTAATAAGGGGCTGGATTGGGGATCAGTCGATGAAGTGCAGACTCTGCAGAGCCACATCCGAACCCTCCTTAAGAAGGACATCGATCTTGTCGATGTGATTCAAGTAATGCTAGTCCACCGAACCCTGCCATGCCAGCGTAGGCCTCGCCGCATGTGGGAGTTTAATCCGGAAGGACCACGAACCCTCCAACACTTCTTCGGCACTACGCACAGAGGGATGTGGAAGTTGTTCTTCGGGAAACGAAAACATTGGCCGGACACCATGGAGGATGCCGGCTTCGACTGCAACCGTCCGGATACTCCGGTAAGCACTTGACTTCCGAACACCTTGTAGTTAAGTATACGTTACTAAGCAAACTATCTTCTTCCAGGGCTGGATAAAGAAAGCGGAACAAATTAGGTGTTCGGCCCCCCTTCCCGAAGACTCAGCGGATCCTGTATTAACAAGGATGCTGGCCCCGGCACCATACCAGATGCCTGTGAAAGAGGGCAAGGCGGAGAGTGGGAGGATTGTGTCTGGGGGAATCAAGATTCCATCGTCCAAAGACAAAAGTGAAGGGGAAGTCATCATCTCTTCCCCCCATGGAAAGAAAAGGGCCGCCTCCGAAGGTTGGGAGGAAAAGGCTCCTAAGCGAGGCAAAATGCCTCTGTCGGATGGCTTGGGCTTGGAGGACGACGCCATCGCGCAGTCCCATGACGAGGAAAAGCCTCAGGCCAAATCGTAAGTGAACAAGGGTGTTTTTAAACATGTCCCGTTCCTTTCTTGTAACATCTAGAATATATGTTTTTTCTGTAGTTAGGCACACAGTCTTCTTCAACAATCCTCTTCCTCGGGGGATATTCTCCCAGAGATGATGGAAAGTGAGACGCCTCCACCGGTCTCCTCGCCCAATAGGGCGGACGATTTCGAGGTGTCGTCGCGGAGGGTCTCCCCTGATCAACAAGTGGTGCGAGGGATGACGAAGACACTACCCGAAGGTGATACTTCGGTGGCCCGGGGTCCGGGGACCAACAATGAAGGCCCCGAACTGTCCAGTCTACAGCCAGAGACGAGTAAACAGATCCCTTCAAAGGGAGGCCGTACTCCTACAGCAGCTTTCGAAGATCTAGAGGCGCCGGATATATTGACGAACATGCTGCGACAGGCATCCGTCTTAGAGGAACATCGTACCTTGATGGGCACGGTGATGGAAAAGGTCCTGTCTGCGAAAAGCGGATTGAATGAGGCCTTTATGGGCCTGCTAAGAGGCTTTGAGGTTTGTACTGTAATATATTTTTATTGTGTTTTATTCACAAAATGCACCTGTGTATAGATAGTAGCCCATGAGACTCTGATTGGCCTCCCGAGGGAGGCGATCAAAGAATCAAAAGATATGCCCAGGAAATAATCTGATTAATTGGAACACAGGCTGTGACCTCCCCGGC